TTTCATATTGAGCATATTGAATTATCAGATCAAGATTAATTAGGACTTTATTTTTGCTTCTGCGTTTTTACATTATTCGATTTATTATTATCAAAACGATAACACTTCTTTTTTGTGACGCTTAAATATTCAAAATATGCATAGAGATAAAAATGAAGAAAATTTTTAAAAAAATTTATTTAAAAAATGTTTTAAAAAAACTGTTATTAAAATTTATTTAAAAAATTCTCTTTCTTGTAAAAAAAATACGAGAATAAAATTGTATATAAAAATTTTAAAGAGATGTTTATTATTATAGTAAAAAAAAATCAAAATTCAATCATTTTTTATTCACGTACCGACAATTAATCCAATACGGCAATTCTTGTTTTTCCAAGCGCATGACATCAAAGTACCAGTAGTGTCATTTAAAATGGCGCATATCTGGATTTTCACATCCTGTACAATAAATCATAGTTAATATTTTAGCTGCATATATACATATAACAATCGTTCTTATCATTGTTTTTGAATCTTATTACTCATTAATACTGTTACTATACTGTTGATGAATTTAAAACTCATGATATTTATATTTTAATTTTTTTTTAAATAAAATGTATGATTCTATCGCTCATGCAATTTACTATAATATTAATTTTTCAATTAGTCCAAAGCTTTACAAAATAAATAAGATAAAGAAAAAACAATAATCAAAATATCAAAATAACTTAAATAACTAAGAAAATGACCTAAGTATTCAAATAAAATTTCATAAAATCATCATAAAATCTTTTAGTCCAAAGAATTACAGTTTGTGATTAGTCATTCATTTGATCGTTAATGATCAAATCAATAATCAGTTATGTGATCATGATAGTCAGTGATTCATTAGTCAGTCAATAATCATTCACGAGTAATTCATTGGCTAATAATTAGTCAATCAATGGTCAATCATTGGTTGATTCATTAGTCAATACTTGGATTTATTCAATGATTTAATAGTCAATCAATGAACAATCTATAACTAGTCAATCAATTAGCAATCAATAAATTAATTTAATTAATGCTGCTAAATGTTTATAAAAATAAAAAGAGAGCTATTTTTGATTTTGATAATTTTAAAAAGTCATTGTTCTGATTAATCAAGTACAAGAATACTTACATCTCTTCTCTTAATCGCCTGTTCAAGTAACTCAACTACATCTTGACCTATTATATCATCACATTTGAATCCCTTCGTCCACCTAACCAAATAGCCTTTGGTTAGCCCATGCTGTATCAATGGGAAGCTAAAAGTAAACCCAAGAGGTAGAACTTCATGCTGAAGATTCAAGTCCTTGACGAACATGGCCAAACATTGAGCTATGTGGTCGAAGAGTTGTATACCGGTTCCCACCATCAAACTTTGTGGTATAACATAGATTTTACTCTTCATGTCGAAATTCTGATTATCCAGAGTGATCAATAACACTCTGAAATTCGTCCCGCCAAGATCCAGGGCCAAAAAGTTACCCTTCTCTGTAAATCGATAACGAATAATTAATTTTGAAAAATATTTATATTAGGAAGAGAAAGAATAATGAAGATTTTATTGCTCAAATTATGGAAAAAGATGATATGAAAAAACGCATAGCAAAAATAATATTTTGTTAAATTAATAATTAATAATTTGTTAATTAATATTTTGTTAAAAAAGATTAAGATACTTTTGTCAGAATTAGGCATTATCCAAATAAATTATCTGAAAAATAATAATTATATATTATTATTTGGCTAATTGGTATTTGAAATTATCATGTGTTAGATCATTTGAATGAATAAATGATTTTTTTTAAGATTATTTCGTTATTATACATTTCAAATAGGATAATTTTTTATTTTATTTTTTTGATATTTATTTAAATAATTTCTCAAATATGTACTTTCTAATTTTAATATATCAACATTGTTAACTACGTCAGAAATAAATATTTCCATTTTATATTTCAATTCCAAGATATATATTATAAATTTAATATTATAATAGTAATAATAATAATAATAAAATTTAATATAAAAATAATTAAATTTAATATATTAAAAAAATAATTGTTTTCTTTGGTAATTGCAAATACAATATAAATATTGTATGTAAAAATATGTAAAAATTCCAAAAAATAAGAATTTTAAATTTAATAATTCATTTGATTCAATAATTTTTTACATCATACATTTATTTGTTATTTTATTTTTTAATAAATTCACTAAAAAAAAATTATTCAAAAATAATTCATTTGAAACTAACATAAAATAAAATTAATTTTATATATTATTATATATATATGTATATTATATATATATTATATATATATTATTATATATATATATATATATATATATTTAATATTTAAAAATAACAATTTTTATATTATATTATATAATATTATATATTATTTTATTTTATAAATTAATTTTATCATTTATAAAATAAAAATAATAAAATATTTAAAATAATAATTAAATAAAATTATTTCAAATAACTATTTATTATCCTATTTCAAATAAAATATCCAAACCTAATATTTAATGATCTTCAGATACAAATATAAATAAAAGAAGAAGTAAAATTGTATTATAAAATATTACTTCTCAATATTAAAAACTGAAGTCATTAGAATTTATCGAACTGAGTTCAATACATAAGCACATTGTTTATCTTCATAATTGGGCAATAGAAAGGCTATTATACGTATACATGTAATTGTAAAACAAAAATTCTGATATATTTATGGAAGAAGAAGACATATTACTTTTACAATGCTATTATAAAAGTGATTCGGTTTAGTTTACATTCATTTTAAATAAATTAATAATTCTAAAAGAAAAAAGTTATTTGAAGAATTATTAGTTTAAACGAGATAAAGTTTCATGAAAATATTAATTTTTGCATAATCAATAGTTAGAGTTTTTATTTTGGCCTTGATAACTTTTTTTCATTTTTTAATATTTCATGCTAATAATAATAATTTTATTGTAATAATAATTATATTTAATAATAATTATTAAAATGGCAATGATCAATATCAACCGCTTTAAAAGTTGAGATTGTACAAGATTTTGTTGTTTTAGAAAATACTTGTTGTATGAATTTATCAATTCATCATCATAAATTGTTTAGAAAATTAAAAATTTTCGAAAATCAATATGAAATAAATATAAAAGCAAAACTAGATAGATTGGAAATTTTGAGATCTTTAATATAAATTTTCATTTTAAAATATTCAATCATTAAAGTTATTAAGTAAAAATTCTTAATTAATCAAATCTCATTTGAATATCTCTCACAATACAATCAATATTTCAAAAATAATTCTTTAATATTTAAAAATAACAATTTTTAATCAAAACGAAAATTTAATAAAAACTTGGCAATTTCAATAAAATTTCTGAAACATTAAATAAAAATAATATTTATAACACAATATAATCAAATATTTAAAAAGAAATTTTCATGATACAATTTTAATGAAATTAAAAAAAAATTAATATAATCTGTAATCTACATCATCTTCACATGTCATTTATAATATACTCAACTTATATGCTATAATATTTATAACATAAATATACATACATATACATAATCATAACAACATATACATAAATCAATATTTCAAAAGTAATTTTTATAATTTTAATTGAATAAATAATTCAATAAAAAGTTAATAACTTTAAAAAAAAATAAAATTGAACAATATTCTCTATAAAAGTTATAAATCAACAAGAATCATAACTCAATACAATCAATAATTGAAAAATAATTCTTATCACTTTAATAAAACAAAATGAAAAATTGTATATATTATATTATGCAATGAAAACGAAATAACTTCAATAAAACCTAATAAAATTCTTTCGTTAACAAATATTAAACAGATATTTCATCAATTCTTCTTTCATCAATTCAATCATTATTTCCAACTCAATCATTCCTTTTTACAATCGATTCTATATCGATTATATGAATTCTACGTATCCACTTACCTGTGCCTTGGGGAAGATCTTGAACGTAAGTTGGAAAACATTTCGTTGTCGCAGTTGGATGCGTTTCCTTAGCTAGACCTTTATGTAATTGATCGTTCAAAGTGTCCATAAGCTGTCGAAGTTTGTCATCTGAGAGGATCATGTCTTTACAGATTTCTCTAATCTGTAAAAATGCAAATAATAACGAATTATTGATTTGAATATAATAATGATACTATTATGAATTGGCCTTCAATAAGATTTCTTTGCACATGTATGCGTGTGCATTGATAGTGCAGCTGCATATTATATAACTCGATATATTTATTATATTTGTTAGATATTCAGTGAAACTAAACTAGGTCTATATCTTTTTTAAATTTCAATTCTTTTTCGTGACATTCAAATATTCATAATTCGTGCAACATTATTATTTATTATTATAAACTATGTTTATTATTTAAATTTTCTTTATCTATATCCAGAATATTAATATGAAACAGATAAAGAAATTCGATTTTAGAAACTAATGATAAAAGTTAGTATATAAAAAATATCAGTTGAAATTTATTTATTAAATTATAAATTATAAATTTCCATTAGAAAGGCGAAGATACATAGAATGAGATAGTTGTATCTCCATTATTCTGTTTTCATTTTACTTTACTTAACATAAACTTATTAATATATATTTATAATTCATAAATAAGTCTTAACCAATATTTTTATTATTTTTTCTTTCAGCCTTTGGAATTGATTTTCTAAAAATATTCTACAAATATATTAACATTTTACATTATATTATGTAAGTATGTATTACATTATAGATAAGAAAAATTTAAATAATTAACATAGTTTTGTTATCGCAAAACATTTTCTTTAAATTATTTAACAATAATATTTAAAGGCATCTTTAAAAATATAATATTTTTATTTTGAAATAAATAAATATTAAAAATTAATTATAGATAATACAATTTTATTTACAAATTACATTGAGAACTATCACTAAGCTAAAATGTATAATTAATATTTTTTTTAAATTAATAATTAAACTAAAAAAAATAAATTATAGAATTAATAGAATTAATAGAAATAAATTAATAGAATTTGATTTTATTAGATTTATTCTTATATGGAAAATTATAAATTAAAAAAAAAACATGCAATATTTATTATTAAATATTAAATTAAATATAAATTTCATCTTTCCATCATGTTTTATGTATTTTTGTCTATCGTTCCTATTATGTCTAGAAGATTAAATATAAATCGAAATAGATTCTATATTATATGTATATACATCATATTAAAATTTAAAATTAGATTTTATTGGCCAATCACGAAATTAATGTAAATTAATTCAATAATAATTTTATTTAATATTATATTATAAATTTATTTAATATATATTATCTATATCAATATTAAATAAATCCATTTCATAAAATATTATAATCAAAAATTATATTTTATTTTATCATTATCTTCTTTAATTTCTCGTAAAATTAATATTTTAATATCGTTATTTTTTAATATGAATCGAGATTCGAAATATGAATTTATGCACACTAAAGTAGATTTTATCATACGAATATATTTTGAGGGATAATTATCCATTCTCAACTGACCGAATCAAAGGAATGCACGTGGAGTTTCCTGTACACTTCTATTGCGTTTCACGTGCACAGATGCGCGCGCATGCAAAGAAAACCGGGCGGTCAAACCGGAACAATAGTCGAGGACAATTATGAAGAGAGTGGCGAGTTATCGAGAATGAAAAGAGATATATACGATGATATAACAATAGAATATAAAATTAAAGTCGAGAATGAATATCGATTTAATTTATTAATTATAATCTATCTACTGTTGAAGTATTTAAACATTAAAAAATATATTTTTAAGAGAAATAAATTAATTACGATTAAAATGCGGGAAATTTAAGTATGCAAATATATATAAATTGTATTTAATATATATATAAAATATGTTAGACAAAATATTTGATAACGAAATATTGTTTAGTAATATTTATGAAAATATAAGCTTAAATAAATACAATTTAATTTATTAAAGTTTATAATATTGAGAATTAGAAATTTTTTAAAAATTATCATCATTATCTAAATTTTAATTTACGATATGCTCATTGAATTCATTTAAATGTATATTTAAATTTTATTAATTTTAGAACTTAAAAGAAATATTATTGATCTTTATTATTTAGTATATAAACTTGAATATCGACTTAATAGATTTCTATTGAAGAACATTTAAACATCAAAGGATATCTGTTAAAGAAACAATTTGATTATTGGAATACATACTATCAATAAAAAGATGATAAAAGATTTTTAAAGCTTTCTGATCGTTTCTTCGGATCATTTTTTTTCTTTCTTCTTTAAAAATCTTGAAATATTATATATTTAAAGTTTACTTAATTTTATTTAAAAATGATGAACTTTATATTAATTTTTATTTTTAAATTTTATATTAATTTTTAAATTTTTATTTATATTTAAAAAAAACTATAATCAATTGGAGAATTTTATATAAAAGTTTACAAAATATTTAATATGTCAATCTAAATGACCTTAAATCAATTTGAAATAATCTTAAAATGAAAAAACTGGTTTATAAATTGACCTTCATGAAATGAATTTACGTCTACATGCTTTTGTGTTCCCTTTCACTTTCTTTAATCTCCCAAAGAATTTTTCAATCCAATATAATTTAATATACAAACATCAATAAATTAAAAAAAAATCATAGAATCAATCATATATAGAAAAAAAATTTGGTTGATTTTTCTTATTATTAAAATCAATAATTTATATATATATATATATATATGTATGCATACAATTTGATTAAACATTACAAACTTTAATTATATGTAATGTAAATTTAGATATAGATCGAAAGATGCGGTTATATTTTTTCTTTTTTTCTCATTCCCATTCTTTATCGATTAATTCTGTTCTTTGATATATATAGCTTCGCACAAAGTTCAAGCTTTGAATTTCAAAAATAGGTCAGAAATTCGCATTGTTATATCCAATAGCAGGAACAACAAGTAACAACAATTATATCGCGCTATTTATATTTTAAAATTTTTTCTCTAATTTTTATTTCAATATTTCTAAAAAAAATGTAATTTTATAACGAATAAAAAAAATCTAACAAAAATTCATATTTGAGATTTAAAAAATTAATAATAACAATTTAAAAAAATTAATATTAACAATATTATATTTCTTATTTTTATTAATTAAATTCGTATCTTAAAACAAAAAAATTTATACTTAATATAAATAAATAATAAAACAATAGAACTATATTTTTATTGTATTTTATTATATTTTTATTGTATATTTTGAAAAATTTCGTTATTGAAAAATTATTTTAAATTACATTGTTTATATTTTAAAATTTCAAATTTTTAAACATCTTGATATAGAGAAAAGGAAATGGACAAATATTTTAATTATAATAAACATTATAATAAATACATTTCATACATTGTATTAAATATATTTTTTTTTACTTCGAATATTAGCCACAATCTTTATAGAGCTTTTATTTTTTAAAAAATTACAATACTATTTTTTGTAATTATTAAAAATTTTTGCAATAATATTTATAATTTTTCGCATTCTAATATATATTTTCTTTTTTGTGAAAAGTTATATAAAAGTTATATAAAAAGTGTTTTTTTCTTATATTTGTCTTATTTTGATAAAAAAAAACATTATGAAATTTTTAATGAAATGAAACAATAAAAAAACATTAATCTAATTGCATTAATCTAAAACATAAAACTTATTCCTATATATTAAAAACTTTCATAATAATAGAATTAAAAACTTCATATAGTAAACATATTTCTCGAAAGTCTCGAAGCGAAAAAAGTTAATTATATATAATTAAATATAATTATATATTTATATGTAATAGCTTATAGTTAAAAAAATAATTTTTTTATAGTTAAAATAATTATTTGTTATAAATATAATTAACTTAATAATTACTTTCAGAAATGTAAATAATTTAATTTTGAAATAATTGTTTCAATATTTAATTTGTAAATAAATTTATATATATTTCTAATTTTCTTTTATTATATGTAGAATTTTTTTTTAATAATACAAATAATTTGTAATTTCAAAATAATTCTCAATGCATTTTTTTTCGACATAAAATAATTATATTTTAAATAAAAATAATGTGATTAAATTTATAGAATAAAAAATTAAACATATTTCTTAATTTTTTCATAGAAAATTTAATTTTAAAAGTAATATTTAATTTAACATACAATATTTTGTAATTTAATTTATAATAAGTTTATAATTAATATGCACGAAATAAAAATTCGTTGAATTTTATTTTATTTTATTGACATATAAATTAAGATTTATTCTTACGAAGAATCAATAAAAAAAAATTACATTTTTCTAACTTATATAATAATATATATAAAACTTTCATTAAGTATAAAGTTAAATGATACTTAAAACTTTGACTAATTAACATCTTTTTTTTAACTTAATTAAGACTTCAATTATTTTAATTAATTTAGGTTTGTTATGATAATTCAAAATATAGAAAAAGTAAGAAGCAAAAACTACTAAACAACTGAAATATCGTACAAATTACTATTACGATATCTAACTGATTATGACTGATATGATAAGAGTTTTTTATTAACTGTAACAAATTTTTCTTTATAGTTTTTTTTTTTGTAAGAATTTAATTTCGATAATATCAACTTTATTTTTAACAGTAATATTTGATATCATTTTTTAAAGTTTTAATTTAAAAATTTAAATATATTAAAGTTATACATATATAAACATTATATATATATAGTTATATAAATATATAAATTTAAATATATTTATGTATGAAAATTATAAAATTTTTAAATATTATTAATAGAATATTTATATTTATGAATTATTAGTTATTTAAATAAAATAGAGAAAATTAATAGATTAATTATCTTTTCATTTAGATAATTTCTATATTTTATTTTTATTATATTTTATTCATTTATTTATTAATGTATATTATTTAAGTTTCAAAAAATATTTTTATCTTATAAAAATACTAACAATATTTAAATTAAATTATAAAAAAATTTTTTTACATTAAATAAAATTTAAATAATATTCAATTATAAATTATCTTATATTTTTTATTTTTCAACATTATGAATCAACACTTGATATCATTTTATGAATTTAATTTAATTAATTATTAATTTAGCTATAAAGAATAAAAAATAAAAAAAAATTATGAAAAATATTCAATATAATGCAATTCATATTTTAATATTATATATTTTTTAATTCATAATTTGATTATAAAATTCACTAAAAACAAATTATGAACATTTACTTTAAATTTCAATTTTGATTTTACTTCCAAATCACAAAATGAATTATTTATATTTTAACGTTTCGTTTTATTTTTTCATATTTTTTAGACATAATATTAAAGAATTAAAAGCTAACTCTTCAGCTATTCATCCGTAAAAAATCGTTATTTATAATAAATCTCCTATTTATTAATTTTATTAAATTAATCGTATAGATATCAATCGATATTTTTTCTATTCAATTTCTAATAAAAAAAATTCTTAAAAGAAAACGAAATTATAAGCTGCCTTTCTTTCTTAAATTTATATATTTTTACGAAAGAAAAATTCAAATTTATAGAATACATAATAATTTCTATAGAAGAATTATCATTCAAAAATTTAAATATATAAAGGCTTAAACGAATTATTAAAAATTTTAATAATTCTAATTTCCTAATTTTTTTTTTTTTTTTTTTTTTTTTATATAAAAAATTAAATATTTCCGAACACGATCGCCTTCGATACATCTAACCTTAACGTTAATGTCGAAATTTTTATCGACTTTCATCGATTTCCATCTTGTTCCTTCTATTGGTGATAAAAAGCAAACAGAACAAAAGAAGCATCGAACGATTTGGGTCATGACACATTGGCACAGAGTTCGTGATCGATAATTGCGCTGTAAACAGTTCGCACGTGAGAGTTTTCGAGCGAAATCGGCCGCATGCGGACGCACTCTTTCGACTCCGAACAACCTTGACAATTTTGCGTCAACGTAGAATATCGGGGTTATTAAAGTGATTTTCGTGATTCGTTGTTTAATGCATCGCAACTGCACGTTCATCTCTCTATCGCTTCACGAATCTTTCGCGAACAATCGAATATGAAACAAATGTCTTTAGATCTTTAGGTTAGATATGTATAGAGGGCGTCTTACTAACAAATTAACTTAATTCTTTAGGGTAGAATAAAAAAAAAATTAGAATTATTTTTTAATATATAATAAAAAAAAACGTACAAAAGATAATTTCTACAAAATTAATTTTTTGAAGTGCTATAAAGCAAAAGTTTAAAGTTTTAACTCTTTTTTTTTTAAGCATATTTTTAAATATATATTTGGATTTTTCAATTTTATTTTCATTAGATTTTTATCATTAGATATTTTTTATCAATTATAATATTTTTTTGCTTAAATTTTTTATTATTTTAAAATTAATAGAAAATTATTAAGATTTTTTACAAAATAATAAGTTCTTTTAATATATTTCAATAATATATTTCAAATATAATTCGAATTTCTTTATAAAAAATTTTATATAGTAAAGAACAAAAAGTTTTCAAAAATAATCTATTTTTAAAAATCACTAAATAAAAATTTTTAAATAGTTTACAGCATTTCACAACATTTGTTTCTTATAAAAGTTATATATTCATTCAAAAAATTTGTTTAAAAATAAACATTTTTAGTATTTTTAAATAAAACATATTTAATATTTTGTTATATTTTCTTATCATTTATCAAAAAAGTAATCAATATATATATATATACCATAATGGATAAATATTAGAAATTTGAAGATATTTATTCCTTTCGATTTGCGCTATATATATTCTGAAAAATTAATAAAACTTAGAACATGCAGAAAAATTAATAAAATATACATATAATTGAAGTTAAAATTATTTTTTCAATAATATATAAACCAATATTTTATAATTATTATTTCATAAAAATTCATATAATTAATGATATTATTAAATTAATAATTTCTAATAAAAAATGGAATCATATTATTTTCATATATTTGTAAGATTAAATCAATAAATCAATATTTTAGTAAATACTCTATAAATATGAAGAACATTGTAAATGTTCATTTTAACTCGAAAATTCATATATAATTAAATATTTAAATTTCAACAATAATATATTAGTTATTAACTAATATATAAAGAATGATTAATAATTTATTATAAAGATTTCAATATATAATTAAATACATTATTATATGATTATTATTATGAATTATAATAAAACTTCAAGAACATCTATCAACCCTTTAAATATACGAAATAGAGTTTGTCCCTTGTTCAAAACTCCCGCCAATTTCCCTCTTTCTTCGTAGATATGGCATTGATCTAGTAGCGACGTCATCGACACACCCGCTTGCCAACCAATAGGACTTTATGAATGAATAGTATAATGTATTGTATAGCATGTACTGTACATAAGCCACATGCACGCTATAGGAAGAATGTCCAAAGGCCAATGCACAGTGATTCGTACAAGTACACGTGGTGGAATGCCATTAGTAGTTGAACTGATGACTTTTTATATATTCTACGTTTATCCAATATTCTCGTATGCAAATCCACTCACAATGAGACGCTTATTGAAATCGCTTATTGAGATTTAATCGATTCTCATTCACAAAGTAATGACAATTATATTTATATTTATATAGAAGAAGAAATGCAATATAGCGAACAACTACATTTTAAATGTTTTCACGAAAACATGTATGAAAACATATATAGTAGAAATGAATTATTTTACTTTTCTTCTCACGCAACTTCATTTTTATTTACTATTTCTGGCAGAGTATCGCACACGTCGCATAGTCGGAGTGTCAAGGCCGGCAGGCAAAGCGGATGAAAACATTTCTCCAAAGTACGATGACCTTTTTTGCAATCACGAATACGAATGCTTGTATTATTACTGGATGTAGCTTTTGAAAATATTTTCAGTTACGATTTGTACTCTTCCGTAATACAAGAAATCCGTTTGGTTATCGAACAAAACCGTTACATGTGTATCAATGCAACACGTTGCATAGTACATAACTTTGATTATCGAATATTATTTCAAGTAGAATTTTAATATAAAATATATTAATATTAATATATATATACAATTTTTCAAAAAAAATTTTTCCTAATTTTTTTTATAATTTACTTGTTAATTTGGCATTTTTATAACTTTAAATTCTATTTCATATTATATATCGAATTGCATGTTCTTAAACAAATCACGTATTGTTAAATTATTAAAATTTACTGCGTAAAATTATAGCGTTAATTTATATAAGAAACGAAAATTAACTCATTTTCAAAAAAGTTCGAACTTTTTTATCCTCACTTATTATTAAGCCATAAAATATTTAATGCCATATCTTATATATAAATACGTGGCACATGTATTAAGAATACATGTATAAAATCGCGTATTTATTGATCCTGAATATATATTCGCGGGTAACATCGAGCGTACTACTTTCCCTTTTTTTCAATGATTATTCCAATCGATAAAAATATGAGTTCTGAATTGTCACGTTTCTGAGACACTTTATGAAAATGATATTCGATAATAGTCAACGGCTATAAACTTCTCAACTCAAACTCGTTTTCGCACCCGTGACAGTCGGTGTTGTCGACTGAGCAGACGCCTCAAGATGTTTCACAAATATCTCATAATTTGTAAAAATTATTTTACTTATCAGTTGAATACGATCGAAAACACATTTTTTTTTATCACCCACTGTTCTTTTAATTATAGACATAGTATTTTATGCAATTTAACATGTATATAATGATTAATCAATTAACTGCTTTTATAATGAATAGATTCATAGTTTCACACATTTGTAGAATACACATTACACGTTAAATGCAAATTGACGTAGAAACATTTCTATTCGTAATTTGCTCTCATGGAACGAAGTTCAAACGAACGATGACATGCCACATATGAAGAATAGCTCGAAAAAAAAAAAGATACAATCCCTCTTTTTAAATAAATTCTGTTACACAATTTTTTTTTCATGTTTTATACAAAACACAAATTCACAGTGAAAAAAAGACAAACATATTAACGAAATTCCATCGATCGACACGAAAACTGGCTGTGTCTTTCGTTACACGAGCCATACTACTTCGTGAACGATCTTCGTGTTGGCTCACCTCCTGTTTAATCATGTCACTGGAGGATAACGACGTTTTCATTGCCCTCCCCTCGTTGCACCCCGAACTATGATCCTCTAGAAGCTTCGTGTTTAAGACTTTTTTGGTACACGATCCAGGGAGAAAATAAGATAGAAAAAGAGCACAATATTCGAGGAATTGTTAGGAATCCGGTTCTCTCTACGCAATACGTTCCGTTGTGAATTCGAACACACGAGTTCGTGCACGCGCGTGACAGTAACTACGTTTTCGATCAGATAGCCACGTACGATTTGTCGTTCACAAGTGTGCCTCACGAGTTTTATATCGCGACTACTAGTACGAAAGCGCCTGTTTCACGCGCGTACCTATACTTCCATGGACGAACGTGGTGGGAAGAAAAGAGGCCATGAAGGAGACGGACAGGCCAGTGATGGATACTACAGGATTCCTAATACCGATCGAGAAAATTTTTCGCTAATTTTAAATCATATTTATCAATCTATTTCTTTTTTAGAAATACGAATCTTATAAATTAAAAAATTAGAAAATTTATGATATTATAGAAAGAATAACTCACTAATAGCAGTGTTTGATTTCTTTTTGATAATTTGAAAATTATGTTTGTATCTTTAATTTATTTTATAAAAATTCTTTGAAAAATATTATAGATATTGTTTTAAAAATTGTTTTAACGTTAAAATGATAATATATGATCGAAAATTTGAACGTTTATCGTATGATCTGTTTGAACAGTTGTCGATAATTGGTTTTCATTGTTCACGCATTTATTTATCATTCAAATGAAAAAAAATAACTTCGATAATAAAATATAATAAAAAAAATAAAATATAGTAAAAAGTAGAATTTAATAATAATCGATTTTTTCTTCATAAATAAATTTAATTTAAATTAATTAAATTAATTAAGGAATTAGACAAGAAATCTTTAATATTTGAAAAAATTAATTAAATTTTTTTCACAATAATATAATTATTTAATTTTTCACAAGAATATTTCTTTTGTCATTTTAAAAAATTTTTAGATTCGATAAAAAATCAATATCGATAATGTATCTTGCTTCGGTTAATTTTCATGATTTGTATCTGTACATATCTGATAAAATTCAAGTCATTGAAAATGTATATGTTTCAATTGAATGATTATAGTTTATATTAGCTATCATTATATACAAATTAAAAAATTCAGAATTGTAGTCAGTATTATATTTCAAAATAATTTCCCAAACTTTAAATATCTATATTTCCCATAAGATATAAGAAGAAAAAATATAAATATATTTTTCATACATTTGTATATTCTCTGTCATTTTTGCTCGTATCATTCATGAATCGATAATGAGTTACATAATAAATTCAAATATGATAAATCAATAATATGAGATCTTATAAAAATTAAATTAATTTTTGCTTATGCTTATTGTGGATTCTACGATACGTGATACGGCACTGTATAGTAACCACGTTGGTGGGATAGATGACTAGTGGAAGGGGCAAAAGAGGGGTGATTCCCCGCATTCGCTCCGTTATTATCCGAAACGCTATCGGTGAATGTGCCGTATACGAGATGGAGGCTCGTCCTCTCAAGGGCAGAAAGGTCACACGATTCCGCGCATACAATTGCATCATTTAAGGCGCTTCCGTTGTTGCGTTAAAATTTAGATTGTCTATAATTAATTAACATTAATTACTATTCTTTTATGAAAAATAATTTGTTATAATTTATATCGATCGATAATTGATTTCAATCATTTTTTCTATTTATTTTTCGTTATATCATAATGATGAAATAGTTAAGATTTTAAGTTTATAAAATGTCTAGGAATTATTTTATGATTTATGCATGTTCAATTTAATAATTCCATTTTGATAAATAATTAGTTTATTTTTTTACTTTATTTTATTACTAATTTAAAAGATTTGTGGTAAAATCGAAAAATTGATATATTTATACTTATTTCGTGTTTTCGTTCAAATAAATCGATATAATAATATATATATAATATAATATATATATANTATATATTGATTAATTGTTTTTTAACTTGAAGTTATAATTGTGATTATTTTCATTCAATATTTATTTTTTATTTTTTATTTTTTAATCTAGATTACGTATGTTATAGTTAACAGAGTTATAAAATGATTAATGGAGTATCATTTATATACTCTATTATATACAAGCAGACAAACACCACTTGTTTAAGAATTGAGAGTTAAACTATTTAAACCTACTTAGTGATACTTTAGAATAATAAAAATATCCAGCTCTTATATGAAGTTAAAGTTTAAAAATGTTTAACTTCGATAATTTCTCATTTTATCAAAAAAAAATCACATATGATATCCACATATGACAAAAATCGATAGTGATATAAATTGATATAAGGATATCCCGATTTAAATAAATTTCAAGTATATATTTGTAATTATTACATTATTTCAATTCAAGCATCAAGATTATGCGACCATTAACACGTGCAACATTTCTAAGATATTTATAAAAGAAACTTGAAACGTGACACTTGAATACCTTCGATGATTCAACATTTTTATTATCTACTACTATATAAGTAATATGTCCAATTGTTCGTCATTTCATTCAATAACTTTTACACAATAAAGATTAAATATTATAACATATCTTTTCTTTTGAGATCGAAACAATTCTTCACTGTATTCAATAATTGTTTTACGACGTCCATGCTTATTTTTTTTCTTCGCGGTAATATTATACAGCTTAACAAACAAAGACGCAATTCACTCGATTAATCTTTCAGTCAATTTGTGTATTATTACACTGATATCATATAGCTCGCAACAAATATCATACCACTCTTCTATTGCGTATGACTTGAATTCTAAATAATGTCTTTGCGTTACATTTATCGTCAAAGAATTATCGTTTCTAACAATCATGTGATATATATTATTTCTATCCATGTTCACATAAATATGTGAATATATATAATGTGTAGGATGTTTAAAAAATATGTACATATTTTATTTCAATTTAGGTGTGACAAATTCTTTCTGCGTCGTGAGCTACAAATTGCTAATTAGCTAGTCCCCTACTATCATACTCTACTTGCTTAATAATCTTGATATATTAATAAATATAGCGAACAGGTGTATGAAAATAGTTTTAAAGTTTTAAATATAATTTTAGAGAAAATATTGTATCATATTTACTTCTATATAATTCTGCATAAAAGATACAATAGTATGTTCCAATAATGAATATATGTTGAGATTATATTGTGTCTATTAATGAGATAGTTGTTGGAAAATGCCGTATTTTTAGTATGTTTAATACGTGGCAAGAATGAGAAACGAGTCTGAGTGAAATAAAAAAGACATCGACATTCGTTGGTTTTCTATGATGTATAAGAGATTCCATTCGCTTGAAGTAGTTTCAGGAAATAGTGGGGATGACTCTGCGTATATCGAGGCAAAAAGGTGTCTACTATTCAGGCATTATTGTATAGAGGGGACAAGTTCTATATTCTATGTCTAGAGTTACAAAACTAAAAAAAAGGTAAGTATTTACGAATCGCCAGTTTTGTTATCAATTCGGTATTTTAATTTTTAGGTTCTTTTAAAGTTTCTTTTAAAAACAAATATTTTTAGATATACTGAATAATATTTTATAAACATAAATATATTTCACGACATAGATTATAATTATTATACTACATGATAATTATATCGAAATAAATTATATTAATATAAACATAGAACTATTCAAATGTATTTGAGTTATCGTATTATAATAATTACAATTATATTATATTTATAATCATCGTTAAACATATTTTTATTTATTATGAGCGTTGTCAATTATAAAAAGATATAATATAAAAACGCTATTTTAAATTTATATATAAATATATACGGATTGAAAAATAAAATGTGAAAAATGAAAAATAAAAATATGAATTTAATAATTTAATAAATATATAAATAAATATTTATTACATATTGATAAAAAATTTATCAAATATTTAATAAATTTAATAATAAAAATTTTTTAAAAATCAATATTTTCAAAATTATATATGTCGGTCAATGATATTAACTGAAGTGGAAATAATTGAAAATTATTTGCAATGAGTTGACTAAGTTGAGGAATTCGTTTGAGTCACGATTATCAACAAGTTTCTTGACAAGTAGATGCATGAAAACTTGATATTAATTATTAGATTAAAGTGATATTTTTTTCTATTAAAAAAAAGCCTTTAAAATAAAATTTCTCTTGATCTTATTATTTTATACAAAATATATACATGGAATTTCTTTTAGTTTAAATTATAATAATAATAGTTTTAATTATAATAAGAAATTTCCTTTTTTAGAATTTATTTATTATTATTATTATTTTTTTTTTTTTGATAAAATTATCAAATTATATTTTGATGATTATTTTTATTATTTTTTCATAAGGATTCAATGAATTTTTATTAAATTTTTTTTGATTTGTTAATCGATATATTTTTTTTATTTGTTTACTTGTATCAAATATTTTTCATTGTTAAATAAATTAAAAAAAAATTTCTAACTTTTCTATGACTAGATGATGAAATTCGTACTGATTTGTATTTTGAGTAAGATGTGCAACTGAAAATGAATGTAGATTTCGTCAGACAATTTATTCTAGAATCAATAAAACTTTTTTGACAAAAAATGATGTAAATAAGAATAAAATTTATTTGAAATTTTCTTTTTGTACTATAAATATTTTCTTATTGTAAAATGTTCTATAAATATATAATGATTGTTTATAAAATATTGGTTTTTAATAATATGTAAATAGAATTTCAATAAAAGTCAAACGCTCTATATTAAAAAGTATGTAATTTAAAAAGTTTGTAATAAAAATTAATTAAATATTAAAAATTAATTATTAAAATTAATAATCAAATTCAAATAATTAATATTACCAATATGTTTATATAATAAAATAAAATTATTATTAATTAATAAATGATTAAAATTGTTATTGATGTATGATTATTAATAAAAATTTAAAAAATTTTTTTGTAATTAAAATAAACAATAAATACAAAAATAAGATAATTATTCGTAAAAATTTCATATCAATAACTTATTTCCTATAATTTATCATATTGCTTTCAAATAATCACGATAAATCATTAATAAAAATTAATGATAATTATTATCAATAATTAAAATCGATGCATAATGAAAATTCGCTTATAGATAAGATATTGATGGTTTTAAATTTATCAGTAAAAATCAATATTGTTTATCGATTAAATTAAAATTGTTTAAATTTCATT